GCTCTGTGTCTGTCTGGAAACTGGTTGTTATTCAGCATCACACTCCAGCAGGAGCACAGCTCAGGGTGGTCTGCAGCAGCACAGGGGAGGGAGGCGAGTAGGGAGGAGAAGGAAAGAAAATAAATAAAATATCCCCAAGCAAAAGTAACTCAGCTTGACTTCAAAGGTGAGAATGATGCAGCTACATGCTTGTTATTGTTTATCTGTGTTATGATACTTCCCAAATTCTGTAGTGACTGAGGTTTCCTCTGTGCCAAGCAGGGTATCAAAAATTATTCCTGCCCACGAAGAACCTCCATCCCAGGTTTAAGTCAGGGGAGCAGTGGAGGGTCCAGGCAGGAGGATTGTGATGAGATACTAATGCAGCATCAATCAGCAGAATAACCAGGAGCCTCAGTGAACCTCCTGCTGTAACCACTGCAATTCATCTAGTTTACTGCCATTACCATCACAATTAGTGTTTCTTCTTTTGCAACATAAGGTTAATAATCTAATAACTGCATGAGTTACCCACTCCTCAGCTCATTTGTTGTACTATTCAGCAGGTATAATTTGCTGCACTTTTGTATTGTAAAGAACTAATTAGCAGCAAGATTATTTTTCCACTGAACTTCACAGGATATTTTGTCTTGGACAACAGTGTTCCCATACCTTTTTATTCTGTGCCATGTTCTGGACTTGGTAAGCTGAGTTGTCAGAGACACCACATTCACCCACATTCCATCAGGCAGAAGTCCTAATTCAGAACCAGGTGGCATGAGTGAAAGGTATAATACACATTTTTCAATTAACAGAATTAACAAGCTTGTTAGAAGAATTTTTTTCTTTGCTGTGTTTATAAGTGTAATATTTAAGGTCAAAAATTAGAAATAAATCAAAAACAGGCAAGAAAGAGAGCTTGCAAGAGTAGTGAGTATGGAAGCTACAAAGTCAGTGCTATAAATCCCCATCCTGACACCTGAGGCCAACAAAACATCTAGCACCTGCTTTTATTTCATGCCATTAATTTCTTGGGTTTGCTTTTGTCTTTTGCTTCAGATTTACACCAGTGTAACTGAGTCCAGAGCTCAGTATCCATAGCACAGTGTCACCTGCTTCTGCAAGGAACCTCTAAATACAGCACCTGTATCTGGAACGTATATATTTCATATAACACACCTGGGATTTATTGTTATTGCACAAAAGTGGCAGCTCTGTGTTGAAAAAGACTGAGAGGCCAACCATGACTATTGTACTGCTGATACTTCAAAGATTTTGGTCCAAGATGTATAAGTTTTATTATATAATACCTATACTTGACAAGTGATATCTATATTGTCCTTCAGCCATATAGACACGGTTATTAAAAAAAGAAAAAATAAGTTGTGCTTGATGAGCTGTTTTAAGAAGCTATTATATTATTGTATTATGACCACTGTGCTGGCAGGCTTTTGGCAGGTTTCAAATAAACATGCCAGAAATAATTTTGTTGACAGCATCTTGGGTTGGAGCACATCCAGCCTTCATCTATAACATGTCAACACAGTGATTCTTTCACAGGCAGAAAAATGTGTCACCTTATATCTGTATTTTAGAGTCTTAAAATACTGTAGATGTCTAGATTAATGGCTCCAAAACCAACTTCACAGGTGGCTAGTGACGTTTTTCAATCAGAAATGAAGACGTAAGTGATAACATTTGTAGTTTTTAATATGCAGCATCAATGAAGTGTGCTTATTGAAAAACCCGTGGAAACATCTGGTTTACTTTCCAAATCCAGAATCATTTTAGTTTTTGTGTAATAGGAAGAAGGAGGTGGAAAACAAGCAGCAAAGGAAAAGAAGGAGAAAACCAGGCTGAAGGGCTTTAGCTTGCTTGCAGGGGTCATGAGGATGCTGTGCTAGGGCTTCATGTGAGGCAGAGAGGAGGTGGCTCCTTATGATGAGTGACTTCGGGGTTTTCTTTCATACTCTCTTCATCAGAGCAGAAACCGTATGTGCTTGGTTTATTTCCCTTTGTGTCATGTGCTTGGTTTACTTCCCTTTGTGTCATGTGCTCAGATTTCAGCATGAAGCCCAAATTTGGTGTCTTTAGGATTGACACAAAGGGCATCTGCTTGCTGCTTGGTTTAGATCTCCATGTTTATCTCTGCAACCTGGATCTTTCAGGAACAGGAAAATTCCAGCTCTGAGCTCTGTGCTGGATGCACCCTTTGAGCTGCCACTTCAAGAACATCATTTGTGTGCTTGAATCAGGACCTGCCTAGGGCTGAATTAAACACCTTCCTGGCTCCAGTCCCAGAGGCTCCCCTGAGCAGAGTGAACAGGCAGGAAATCCCAGTGAAGGGTGGGGGTTTGCTGCCAAGGACAGGGGGTATCACAGGCTGGTGGGGCTGTAATTCCCCTGGAGGTAAAAGATGGTCACAGGGACACAGCAGCATCCTTCTGGAACGAACAGAAATACAGACAGGAATAATCTGAGGTGGCAGTGCTATCATGAATATGGTGTGATGTGTCTGCAGTTTTGCTGTAAGTGATTCTATCAAAAGAGATTTCAAATGACTGAGAACAAAGGAGCAGCTTTCCAAACCTGTGCTGAATAAAGCTGTTTGTCTTCCTTTGAAAAGTCATTTATCTCTCCTTGCTTTTTACCAGGGGAAATTTCCTGATGGAATTTTGAAAAGAAAGTGAAAATGCTATTTTCTACTTCCTTGTGGTATATTAAACCCCAATATTTTGCTTATGAATAGTTTTCCTCTTGATATACTAGATATTCACAGTCTTTTTTCTGTTGAGATTTTGCTCAAATATTGATTGAATGCCTGGAGAATTAATGGGATTGACTTGATAATGGATTCAGTGCAAGTACAGCTGTCCTGAATGCTCAAGTATGTGTGTGTATTTCTATCACTCTGGGACTCATGGATGGGGAAATCACACTTAATGCAAGGTGTTATTAAGCTCTTGAACTACATCTGGGTTTTTAGATGTTATTCAAGTCCATGAGCTAATTTTTTCTTCAATTTTAAAACTTCTGACCATTTGTAGTGAGAGTGTTGTTAGTTTATTTTCAGGATTGTGACTGTTGCCATCAGTTCTGTAACACTGCCAGTGTTTTACCTCTGTCCCAAGACACTCTGAGGGCTTGGCTGGGTTTCTCACCTGCTTCTCCACAGTTCTGTTTCTTTCTAGACTCCCCTGTACCCTGATGTGAAAGAAAAATTATTTCTGTCACTTACTAAGAAGCTCTGCATTATTTACCTGGCTTATTCATAAATTTCCTTCCCTTGGAAAGCTGCAGAGTCTTTTGTGCCTTTCTGCATCACCTGAAAACTGGAGACCATAACAGTTTCCCAGAAGTGATATTAGAAGACTAAATTGATTAACACTTGTATACATATTTAGGGTAAACAATCTGTAGAAATGGAAGTATTTATTCTGCTTGCTTGTTGCCAAAATTACGTTTCTCAAAGCTCCTGACCTACTTTTCAAATTTTTCTCCAGTAATGATAGTAAACTATAAATTTTGTCCTTCTAATTATTTTTCATTTCAAATAGAAAGCCAAGTGAAAACAAGGAGGAGATAAGGAGAGGAGGGTGTGGCCATCTCTACCACACTTTGCCCGAAGGAAGAGAAGCCTCATGGATTTTCCAGATTTAGAATAAATGATGGAGTGCATCAGGTGTTTAATGCCTTAAACTTGGCTTTCTCTTGCAGATTTATAGATTTTGTAGTGGCTAGATCCCCAAACATACAGAAAGTGAGTCTAGACATTATCTTTTTCTGTAAAATGAATTCTAGGGAAAGGTTGAAAAAATATTTCCCAGCATCTTCTGCAAAAAAAACCTGTGAGGTTTGCCTGACTTGCCTCTTCCAGTCTTATTGCAGTGTATAAGAAACAGAAGTAAAGCAAACTCTGAATAACAGAAGAACTTAGTCTACTATAAAGCTTTTTGTTTTCATAAAACATTTGAAATCGAAAAAAAAATAGTCTTTTAAAGAAGTTCCAGCAGCTCTGTTTTAGATACACCATCCCTCATTATAAAGGAAATGAGGCAAAAACCCTAAATAGATTAGTTTCACAAGGAGAAGGAGCATCCAGAGTTGTTCTGGCTGTGAGACCAGATCCCTTGAGTGAATTCAGCCTCCCGGGGAAGCAGAGTGCACTAATATTTCATACAGTTCCTGTGGGTGCAGGATTTCAATGTGTGCATGAAATCACATATAGTGCAAAATGCTAAGAGGAATCCAGCAAAATGCATGAAAGTGCAATAAATTTTTAAGATCTTGCGAATGAGAGCACAGCACTTCATAAAAACCTCAGTCCTGAGAGCAGGGGTGCTGTATATACATGGTAGGCAGAACATATGGTGCAAGCACAGTGCAGTCAGAGCTAATCAGTGCGTGGTGATGGAGCTTTTATTCAGAAGTTTTAAGGACGTGATTAAATTTAATGTATATGCTAGAGGAGAAGTCTTCAATTGCTTAGACCTGCCAACCTAGGAGTGCACGCAGCATGCCCCGAGGAGATGTCATGTTTTCTGGAAAGGCAGGAAACTTCACCTGGGGGATATCCTTATTGATTTTTATCTCTGTGCATGCCCCTGTGAATTATTTATCTTCCTGTATGCTTCTCTGACATCTTATTATGAAAGTCTCTTGAAGGTTACTGTAAAGCTCCTCATTCCCAGACTTAATGAGGGCTGGTAGGAAACTGGCATTGATGAGTGAGTTTGGATGAGTGCTGGGATGGGGCCGGTGCCCGTGTGCCAGGAGGTAATGGGGAGTGTGGGTTCCACTGCTGAGCCACCAGTGGGTGCACTGCATTTATTCACTGTGTAATTATTTGGGAAGAATTCAATTAATGCCACCGTGAATTACAGCAGCGTGATCTGTATTTGGCTCAAGGGCCGTGGTCGCAGGGTGCAGTTCTGCAGACTTACATTGCTGTCTGGATTCTGTGCTTGTTTCCTTGTCTAAGTGCCCTTTTCTAAATGTTCATCTTCTTTTGATGTTTCTAGGAGCTGGTGGGGAGTAATCCTCCTCAAAGAAACTGGAAAGGAATTGCAATTGCCTTACTTGTTATTCTCGTTATCTGCTCGCTGATTGTCACCTCTGTCATACTCCTGACACCAGGTATTTATAACCTTTAACTCACTTCCAGTCTGTTTTCCTTCGGAAATTTTACACTTCCAAGAGTAAAGGGGTTGCAAAATAACTGCAAAGTCGACATCAAAGGAATCCTCCCTCCTCACTTTATCTCAGTCTGATGCTGAGTTCAAGGCCATTCCTAGGTAGATTGTTTTAGAGTTTTACATTTCAATTCAGAGATCAGGGCTGCTGACCTGAGGGCACAAGCCTTGAACATAAACATTTTCTAAACATGGGTGGGGAATGTCATTTTAGATATGCCAGGGTAGGAGAGGAACCCACATGGGCAGTCAGTGAGGACACAGGAATTCCTGAAATTCATGTCCACATGGAGCAGTAGTTGCCAGTTGAGTGTCATATCTGGATCATTGGAAATTACATTAATGCCTATGCCTTGGCACCTAAATCCCATCCCATTCAGCTGGGTTGATTTTTAGTTCAGACCACAGTGTTTACAAAGCAATTTCAGATAATGATATACCAGGTAGTACTTATCCACACCAATTAGTAACTTCCCAATAAGGAATTCTTTAAGTTAATCCCTTTACCAAGTTTCAGCAAGGTTCTGAGCATGTAACCTCTGTAAATTACTTCTCTTACAGTAACTGCTGAGGTTGTAGGCTTGAATTTTAATGTGGTGTCATTATGATTATTGATTATTATGTATTTATACAGCCCTGTAAATTTCCATGCCTACTTAGGGAGTAGAAATAAAGCGCTTTTGCAGCACTGACAAGACTGTGAACTGAATATGAAAAGACAAACAAAATGAAAGACAAGACATGGAAAAAAGAATTCAGTGTCAGAGAGGGTGAGGAGCTACAAAACACAGGGGGAGGCAAAGGTCCCCTGCTTCGGGATGTAGAGGAGAAGAACAGGGACTCCTTGGATGAGAATCTAGGGAGAAGCAGGAGAGAGAGCACAGAGCTGAGGAGCAGAATGGAGACAAGAGAGAAATGAAGCCTCAGAAAGTGGAAGAGCACAGGGTAGTGAAGTGGAAAAATGAGACAGAAGTTGTGGGGCAAAAATTTCCAGCTCATTACATGCAAAATCCATTCAATCCAATAAGTCTAGGCCACCTTCCCTGACAAATTCTTATCCCACAGTCTTGCTGTGTGAGCAACTGGAGACAATGACAAACTAAGACATACAGGAGTGCATTGAGTTAATTTGAAAATGAGTGAAATAATCACTGCATTATTTTTTTAGTTATTTATTGTCATGCCATATTCAGTTTATTTCAGAAGTTTTCAATGCAAATTTAAGTACCATGTGGTCATGCCAGAATTATTATGTAATTAAATTAATTAAGGTTAAACTTACTTAAAGTTCATTTATTAAATTAATTTTGCTGGTGTTCAGATTCAACATCTATGGACAATGCTGTTCATCTCTGAGATGTTTTGGGGCATGATGTGTGGAATACACTTACATCAGGCATAACTCATTAGGCTGTGATTTTTCAAAGACGAACATGAAAGCCTAGATTAGTAAATCCATACCCATGAGCCTCAACAAGTTCTCTTGAAGCTGAGCACTGCCTAGATGGGACTATGGGTGTCACATCAAAATCCAAGAGCATTAAATCCACTGCTCCCCTTGATCAGCAGTGTGGGTTACCCAGTCATGATAAGAAATCAGGTTTGATAAGCAAGACTCTGCTCTCATGAGGCTGTGGAAAGGGGACAAGCCCAAAGGAGAGGCCTTTAGGCTTCATCAGTAAAGAAGGATACAAGGGAGCTGGAGAGGGGATTTTGACAAGAGCATGAAGAGACAGGACAAGGGGCAATGCCTTTAAACTGGCAGAGGGGAGGTTTAGATGAGGTGTCAGGTGGAAATCCATCCCTGTGAGGGTGGGGAGGCCCTGGCACAGGCTGCCCAGAGCAGTTGTGGCTGCCACATCCCTGGAAGTGTCCAAGGCCAGGTTGGGCAGGGCTTGGAGCACCCTGGGATAGTGGAAGGTGTCCCTGCCATGGCAGGGGGTGGAATGAGATGATTTTAAGGTTCCTTCCAACCCAAACCATTCCATGATTTTATGATCATTGCTCCCTTGATCCCCTAATGAACTGACAAATACTGGAGACAGAAGAGGCTGTTTTGGACACATCTTTGCATTCCAAACCAAGCTTTAATGGCTGAGTGTCTCTTTGCCCTTTCATGCACATATACAGGGTAGAGGGCAGCATGCAGGTGTATAGTCCATGCTCAGACAAAGAGAAGTGGTTACCTGGACCCATAACTTGGTCTAATACTGGGAGAGCTTGGGTAATCTCTCAGGTAGTCTCCTGCAAAGTCAAGAACAACAGGTAGAGTGGAAAGTGGGGAAGATTTGCTTAGCAGGGCAGATAATGATTAAGGTATTTAATAATCGGGTAAAAGGAGGATTTGTATGTCTCTTCCAGATTGTTTTTCAAATCAGCCCAAACTTTAAATGTTTTAACTCTGGATTCAGATGGGCTGAAATCCCTTCTGGTTTGGGTTTCTCAGGGGCACGTCACTCACCCTGCTCCAAGATGAGCACAAAAACTGGGAGCAGTGGACTCTGAATTCAGCAGACACTGTAATTACAGCAACAATGCTCTATTCCTAGCTAATGCTTATGTATCATTTTAAAAAAACCTAAAAAAAAAAAAATCAACATTTCTATGATTTGTATATCCTTTTGTATTCTAGAACAACTTTCTCAAAAGAAGCAGTAATTGGTGGAAGTTTACATTAAATTACACTATAGGACACCACACACACACCATTGCCTATGCTGAGCTTCTCCAGTTTCAAGGTGTGTGAGTCCTGCCATTTCACCCACCTCTGAAAAATGTTAAACTCTTTTTACAAATGACAGCAGTGTTGTCCTGAGACTTTCCTAATGGGCAGCTCCCCACTTGTCACAGCATGTGGCACTTATGCAGGTCCCATTCCATTGTTTGTATATTTATATAAAAACATGCAAATCTTTCTAGGAGTCTGCCTGTGCACACACACGCAGAGCAAAGCTGAAAAGGGGACCCAGTCCTACAGAAATTTTGAGTAAAATGAGGCCTTTCCAAATTCCATTAGACATTGTGCTTAGGAGCAGGCTTATTTGTCATACATCTGTTCCTGATATTTAAAGCTTTCTGGAGATATACATCACATTTGCTCCTTTCAAATCTGACCTTTTAGCTGAAAAAAAAAGAAAGTACACCCTAATCCATATTAAAATTTTTGCAAAATCCATAAGAAACATTTCTTAGAAGTGGTACTGAGCTAGCCATTGCATAGCATTTATTCACAGCATGCTGTTTGACAGTCAAAGGCATTGCCTAGAAAGCTTTGTAGCTCTTGTGATACTCAGAGCAAGGCACTATCCTTTGACCAGCTGTGCAGGAGAGCAATTTGTTAACCACAGTTATATATAAATGTGTATTTTACACCATTGGAAGCAGGTGGGATATTACAGAAGGGAAAAAGGTTGCCTGTTTGCCTTGTGTGGCCACTGCCTTTTGGGTACAGAGAGGTCACCTGGGGGAAAAGAGGGGTCAGGTCTGCCCAGGGATCAAGCAGGTATGCTGAGGTGGGAATGGAGCTCCTGGTGTGCTGGTCACAGGGGGATGGAGACACTGTCCCCCACATGCAATTCCCAACTGGCCAGGAGGTGTGTGAGGAAAACATCTGACACCAGCCCGTGGCTGAGTGGCTGAGCACCAGTGGTGATGGAAAGAAAGGTGGGCACCCAAAGGTGGCTGTCACCTTCTGACCTATCAAGCAGCCTCTGAGCATGGCTGGAGCTGAGAAAAAAGCTTGGAAGAGAAGAAACAAAACAGGCAGTGAGGTCAGCACCTTGCTCCTTTTTTGTTTGAGTTTTCTGGATTTGTGGAGGATCTTTGTTGGTTTTGTGTTCTGGAGAGCTGTGTGATGTCAGTTCAGCCCAGGCTGGTTTGGGTGTGCTGACTGCAAGGATGGAGAGCAGGCAGAGGAACCCAAACACAGGGTTCCTGTCATGCCTCTACTATTGAATCAGAACCAATATGGACAAGTTTCCACTTGGTTCTCTCAGCACGTAGCTGTGATGTTTGGGTGCTGGGTTTGTGACTTGGCACTCAGATCTCAAGTCCCTGTGCCACTTGCCTGGCTGCCATGCTGCCATCTGATCTGCTGGGCTGGGGGAAGTGAATCCAAAAAAAAAAAAAGGACCAGGCACATGCTTAGTCCTGTCCTTCCATAAGTACAGAGTGGCCCCCAGGTCCCTGCAGTGTGGACAACACAAAACACAACCTGTCCACCAGCTGGTTTAGAGGTTTAGACACCCTGAGGCACACTTAGGATCTGCTGCTCAGGACAGAGTGGGTGGCCTGAGATGCCACAATTGCATTTCTTCCTCCATAAATGTCTCCATTAGGGCCAGAGGAATTCTTTAAAAATCTTAAAAAGCGCTCTGACCTACCTGTCTGTTAGAGGAGAGGTCAGTAAATATATTTTCTTCTTCTTTTTATTTTATTACTGAAATTCATTGATGGATTTATTTAGTTTGTTTTCTCCCCAGCTCTGTGGCTGAGCTGAATGTAGTCCATTGCTCTTACAGCCCAAGGCAGGGGGCAGAAAGGGAATCTCACCTCATGCCTTAGAGAGGCTCCTAAGTGTGCAGGTGCTGCCTCTCTCTCTTCCTGCTGTCCCTCACAAGGAGCTGGAGTGCTGTGGGGGAACAGAGATGGTGCAGCTCCCAAACCAGCTGTCCCCATCTCCCAAACCAGCTGTCCCCATCCTGCTTCTTCCCAAATCTCCAGCACAGAGGTTTGCTTGTGCCTGTCCCTATGGAGGGAGGAGAGCTCCTGGGGAAGCATCTCCTGGAACAGGCACAAGCCCAGGGCTGTGTGTGGGCTCCTGCCCCACCTGACCTCCCTGGGTATCCAGTTCTGGGGACTTGCACCACGGCGAAATTAATTGGAACGATTTCCTGGGGTCCTTGTCACCTATGTTTTCCATTTTAATAAATAAGATTATGCAGAATAACTTGGCATAGCTCTGTCACACAGAGGGATTTGGCTGAGGACTTGTATTAATGTGTTCTGGTATTTGGAAGCCACAGTGAACAGTGTGGTTGAAGTCTCAGCCAGACTAGGGAAAAATATGAACATAGAAGAATATAATTTAATTTGGTGAAAGTGAAAGTTTGTTCTGAAACATCTTTTAGTGGAACAAAACCCTGTTCATAAGTATTTTTCTGTCATCTCAGGTAGTTCAGGGGCTTCAATTTAGTACAGCAAAGACTTTTTTACCCCACAAATAAGTGCCTTCAGGGTCTGATTCCACTTTTCTAATCATAAATGTTCAGTGTAAGTTTAGCACTAAACAATATTAAAGATATCTAAGGCTCCCAATAAACCTCAGGCATGAGGATACTGTCATGAGGAAAGATGCTGAAACACACATTCCTGCTGTGGAAATACTCAAAAAGTGGCCTCCTCTTTTCTTTAAAAGAGCAAATGTATTTAAAGCTGACTGAAATGTTTCCATGAAAATATTATTTCAGCAAAAAACTGAATGTTGACAACAAATTATTCATAGAGGGTGACTGCTTGTCAAAACAAAAAAAATGTTACATTTGATGGGAGAAAATAAAAGAGGGAACATATTAATCAAAATTGTTGGGTTTTCAGAGTTGTTGGTTTTTCTCTAAAATTTTCAGCCATGTTTACAAATGGAACTGTATATCCTTTCACTAAAAATTGAAATTAGCATGGGCCAGCTATTCAACACCTGGGCATTAAGGGTTATGTCTCATAGAATTTTCAAAAATATTTCTGCAACCAAATGTCTGATTCCCTTGGAATATTTTTTGTGAATTTCTGAAGTAATCTGTGTGATTATAAGTTTAAATACCTTTTCAACTATGGTTTATGTTAAAATTTTTAAGGAAATGAAAATATAATCTGTAAAAAATTGGTCCTTTTAACTAATTTTAAAAATTTTCTCATAATTTCAGAAATATTTTAATGTTTAGCTGTTGAATATTAAGCATTATCTATCACAATGACACCTATAGGTGTGTTTGCATGACTTAGATTCTTTTTTGATCGTGTTATGTTGGAAAATGTGTGGTTTGGCCTATTTCTTGGTCTTTTTGTAGTTGCTTAGACCAGGTTTATATAGCAAGGAGAGTTCTGTTAGTGAGCCATTGGGTGGTCTTTTTATAATGCCAACAGTGGGAAGGGATTTGTGTGTGACACAAAGCTTAATGTGGACTATTTCCAAATGAGATATGTCACAATTCACAGTTTCTGTGATTTCAGATGCATTTCAAAGTTGAATTGATGGTAGTTTATTTTTGAATGTTTTACAGTCGAAGATAACAGCTTGTCTCAGAAGAAGAAGATAACAGTGGAAGATCTCTTTAGTGATGATTTCAAGATTCATGACCCAGAGGCTAAATGGATAACTGGTGAGTTCTGAGCACTTTGTAGCATCTTTGCTTTGCTTCCTTTCTCCCTGGCCATTGCTTTTTTATGTACTTCTTAATTCCTCCAGCTGTTTTTGTTGCTCCTGAAATTACAGGATCAAGGACTGATTGGGGTTGGAAGGGACCTCTGGAGATCATCTTGGCCAACTCTTAGCTCTAGCAGTGAGAGCTGTTTGTCCAGAATCATGCCCTCAAATTCCTATTTTCAACCTTCAAATTCCTATTCCAGTTTTCCTCCTGTTAAACCTGCAAACACCACTTTTTATCTAGGGCTTCCCAGTGGGCTCATAGATAGGCATGGAAAACTACAGCCTTTTTCTCCAAGAGCATCCAAGACTTAGTAAGTGATGTAACACATGGCTGGAAGAAGTGACTGGAGCACCATCAGTGATTATTTTACCATAAACAAAACTGGAGATTTATATTCCCTCATCAAATCAGATTTTTTTTTCCTGGCAGAGAGGTGAAGCAATGCAAACAGTGGTCCAGCAGCAGCTGGGCTGGGGCTTGCACACAAGCCATGTGCCCTTTTGTCCTCTGCTGCCTTACATTTTCCAGTCAGGGGAAAACCAAATAATACTAGAATCAATGCATGCTGGATTTGCTGGAGTGGAGCTTATTTGGGGGATGTAGATTCCAGCTCTCACCGGAAATTGCTGCAGTCAGAACAAGCTTTGGCGAGAATAAAATGATTTGTGGTGTGCTGTTCATGTGATTCTAGTCCAGCTCCTATTATCACGGAAGTTATTAGCTTTTCTCTTGAATTTAATGGGGAACTGGATCAAGTCCTTCCTCATGTTTAGCTTTCCTTGTCTCCTGTGCCTGTGTCTTCTGTTGGGAACAGAATTTTAATACCTGTAATGAAAAGTGAGAGTGTTAAAGGGTGGTGCTGAATTAACACATTCCCCAGCTTCAGGTTCTGCCACCCACTCAAGTAGAGGGGAAAGCTGTTGCAGACAATAAACACCTTCACAAACACACCTGCCAGAGTGCAGGAGCTCTTTTCCAGGCTGTGTTCTCCGTGGGAATGGTGCTCCCCATAAGCACTTTCTGGGAATGATGATGATGATGGAAATAGTAGCTACATTGAAGTTAAGGGTTTTTTGTCTGGCGTCCTTTTCCTTTTATCACAGATGTCCTGATGGCCCTAATGAAGGAAAAAGTGTTTTACAGAGACTTTGACTGCTATTTTTTTATTTGCTAGAGTATAGCAAATAGAGCATAGTGGAGGGAATGATAATGAATTAACTAAACTTTGCAGGAACAGAGAATGAAGTATTGCCATAGTGTGGTATAATATCCCCCCACTGATGAGTATCACTTTTTGTGGACACAAGGCTTGTTTTCTACAACTGCATTCTGCTTTGAAAAAACAGCATTTCCCTTGCTCTTTCAATTATGGTCAAATACTAAAGTAATATAAACTTTTATTAAGATTAGGATTCTGATCTTCTGTGTTTTAAAATCCACCTCTGTCCTCTCATGTACCCTTAATGACTCCAGTGCCACCTTGCCTCTGAAATTACTAAAATGTTGTTTCTGTAAGAGACAAAACACAAAGACATATTGTGAAAACATACACAGAAATTTTAGAATTACTTACTCTATTGTTTTGATATGGAAAAACACTGACACTGATTTTAATACATCTAAAGGAACTTTATGAAGCCAATAGATACCCTGCAGATTTACCCAAGGTGACTTTGCAGTTAAGGGTAAAATGCTGATCTACAGTGTCATTCATCCAAGGACCAAGAGCCATTTTACAACATTAATTGCTTTTCTGTATTATAGTTGGATTTTTCACAGCTTTCTCTAGTTGGCTAAGTGGTGAAATTGTGATTAAGATGAAAGACCAGTAGCCAGATTCCTAAGCACATGTTGTTATTGGTCTCTTATTTTTCAGTATGCAAATGAAAGACTCCAAAAATGCCAAAGCCAAACTAATTAACTTAGTATAACAAGATTGCTGGAATGCCTTAGCAAAAGAAAAAAAATGCATATTTTAAAATAGCATATTAAAATTGGATGACCGCTTACAAATCTAGCTGATGCTTTGTGGGGATCCACACAGTTGTTAAAATAGAAGTATATAATTATAAAATAAATGGGTAGCTGTTGTGGGTCCTTCTTCCCTTTCCTCTCCTGTTAATCATACAGCAAAATATCACAGCCATTCAGAGCTCTTCAAAATTCAGTCCTTCTGGTTCATCAAAGCTCTATTTCCTTCCTTTCCCCCTGCATTATTGCAGAAGAGAGGAGGTTGGTGGCCAGAGATGAAGCATGCAGCATGTTTAGGAGTATTTGAATCATCCGAGGGATTTGCTCCCAAAATAATTCAGTCAGTAAAATATCTGTGTTCTTCCCAGTAAGCAAGGGGCTGGTTCAAACACTGAATGAGGAAGGTCTTTCCTGTATCTAGAATGAGTCTTAGAGCAAGTGTTTCAATAAATAAAATATTCATATTCAAGGTCACACTAAAAATATGCTGAAAGTTGCACGAAATTGATGTGATGAGATCATGTTTTAGTATTTTCTTGATTATCATTGGGCATGTGGAAAAACAACATATTTCTAATCAATAGCTTTGTGTCATTCTATTGATTTTAAAGGACTCAGGAAAAAAAGAAAAGAACCAGTCTCAAAGCTGACATAAAAACGCTTTCAGTGCAAAGATTACAGGCTTTGTCTCAGCTTTCAATCACGGCTTGTGGCTCAGTTGTGGGTATATTTGCATTGTTTTTAATTGGAATTGCAATTAAATTTACTTGCACAAAATGAGAGTTGTGGCAAAGTTATAAACTTGAACATTTTACAAGTTTTGTGATGCCACAGTAATTTCAAATTCCAGTTTGCATTTTTATCCACTGGTCTAGGGATAGGAAAGAATACTTTGCTGAATTAGGATCTGTCTTCTGCTGTTCTGCTGCCCTGACCACTCTGTTAAGAGTGATCCAGAGAGGAGTGTGCATAGAGCACATGGTGACAGGCCAAGGGGAATGGCTTCAAACTGACTGACAGCAGGCTTAGACTGGATACTAGGAATAAATTCTTTACTGTGAGGCTGGTGAGGCACTGGCACAGGTTGCCCAGAGAAGCTGTGGATGCCCCATCCCTGGAAGTGTTCCAGGCCAGGCTGGATGAGCTCTGGGCAGCCTGGGATAGTGGAAGGTGTCCCTGCCACAGGCAGGGGATTGAAACTGGATGATCTTTAGATCTCTTCTAACCCAGGCCATTCTGTGATTCTATGATTCTGTGACTAGAATGGACTGCTCCAGAGTTTATTTCTAGATCCACTTCCAGGTACTGCTATTGGTTAGGTTTTCTCTGTAGTGTAAGTGCTGACTTTATTGTGAAGGTTTCATTTTTCAGGACAACGTAGCACATATATTGTACTATAGTAGGTGTAAAGCAGTGAAGAACAGGAAGGTTGGGGTTCTGCTGGTGATTAATTGGCACTCCCCCTATCCAGTAGTCCAAGTGGAAATAATCTGAGCTGTGTCTGCTCCAGCCCCATTCATCCCACACCTCCTGTGCTCTTCTCCTCATCACTCCATCCCTCACACTCTGCACTGAACTTCCTTTTCCTGCACAACTATAACTATATTGTCTATACACTTAACAAGCATATGAGCTCCAATCAGTGGGTCTTTTCATACTGTGCATGTTAAATGTAGTATTTGAGCGTTTCCTTGTCTTCATATCCCCCTCCATAGCCTGTCAGGAGTGTCCTGTGCCAGCCCTTTGTCAGCCCTCTCCCAGCTGACAGGTGGCTTGCTCATTAGTCTAGTCCCTAATTGTTCAGCAGTTCTGCTCATGAGCACCACATTACCTTGTAATTAGGCTTCACAATTACTGGGCTTTTCCTGTAATTTCTCTCACACACAGTTTAGCTCAGGTTTCTGAAAAGCTTGATGGGATGGTGCAATGTTCTTGTAATGTTCGACAAAAAATGGAATAAAGAAATTTGTTGTCATTTTGTGCTGAAGAGCAGCTTGATCATCTGATTTCTTCTTTAAACAATAATTCATAGTCGTTATTTAGACCTGACCTGAGAAGCCAGTTGAGTCATGCATTCTGGTTTTGTGGCCCTTTTGAGCTGCAGTGATTCCTGCCAGCTGTGAATCTGCCCCCCAGCATCCTGAGAGCACTCCTTCCTCCTGGGGAAGGAGCATCATGTAAAAGAAAGCAGTGGAGACTGAATTGTACATGCCACCTGTGGAGACTTACACTAATCTTCTGTCTTTGTACTTAAATGGCAAATAGATTTTGTCCACTCTGAAAGTACTTGGATGCTGTTTCAGTTAGAAAAACATCAGAACAGCCTCTAATATCCTGACAGAGGTTATTGCAATGGATTGGGTGCAATGTGTCAGTCCTTACTTTTTAGAGGGTGTTTTTCCAGCCTTGATGTAGGCATCTTGCAAGACAGTGTATTTAGCAGTGGCTCTTGTCAGGATTTTGGGCTGTAGGTAAGTGACTGGAGGTTTCAATTAGGAGAGCATTTTCCTTGGGCTAGACACTGGGGAGGCAATCCTTGCAGAGGGATTGTAGCCAGATGGGAAGAATAAAGGTTGAAATGAAGAGCACGATATATTCAAGAGGTGAAGAACACTGAGGTACAGGACTACAAAGGACATGTTTAGAGTCATAGGACCTTAAAATACGTGAAAATCAAGCCCTTCTCTCCAAGGTCCCTGCCCATTCACTTCACCTGCAATATTGGAAAATAACATTTATTCTTATGAGGAGAGGAATAATGAGTAAATTAGCAAGAGGCTTCAAATGACATTTTCAGAAATGTCTCAGTTATTTGGAAACCTGCCACTCAGTGAGAGCCAGGATCATGGTGTGCCCAGCTCGCCTCTGAGAAAGGCAGCTGGGCTTTTATTTCAAAAGTCCCTTTGAAAAATGCACTAATAACTAATATCTAGATATAATGAAGTAATTCTTTTATCTTTAATACTGAAGCACATATGTTT